TAGGGTTAGTTAACACCTTTATCACCTCACATAATTATTGTTTTTGTGTATGTGTAGTGAGAACATTTAAGATCTAGTGATTTTCAAATATATAAACTATTTTTAACTGTAGTCACCTTACTATACATCAGATCCTTAGAACTTATTCATCTTATAACTGAGGTTTGTACTTTTGACCAACATCTTACCATTCCCCCCCCACCCCAGCCCCTCGAACCACCATTCTATTCTGTTTCTTTTTTTTTTTTTTTTTTCAACGTTTATTTATTTTTGGGACAGAGAGAGACAGAGCATGAACGGGGGAGGGGCAGAGAGAGAGGGAGACACAGAATCGGAAACAGGCTCCAGGCTCTGAGCCATCAGCCCAGAGCCCGACGCGGGGCTCGAACTCACGGACCGCGAGATCGTGACCTGGCTGAAGTCGGACGCTTAACCGACTGCGCCATCCAGGCGCCCCTCTATTCTGTTTCTATTAACTTGGCTTTTTTTTTTTTTTTTAACTTGGCTTTTTTCATATTCCATATATAAGTGGGATTATATAGTATTTGTCTTTGTCTGACTTACATCATTTCGCATAATGCCCTCAAGGTCCATCCATGTTGTTGCAAATGGCAGGATTTCCTTCTAATGGCTAATATTCTATTGTGCGCGCGTGTGTGTATATGTATGTGTATACACATATACATACCATATTTTCTTTATGTATTCATTTGTCCATGGATACTTAGGTTGTTTCCATATCTTGGCTATTAGGAATAATGCTGCAGTGAACATGGGGATGCAGATATTTCTTCAAGTTCCTGATTTTATTTCCTTTGGGTGTATACCCAGAAGTGGGAATGCTAGATCATATGGTAGTTCTATTTTTAGTTTTTGAGGAACCTACACACTGTTTTCCATGGTGGGTATACCAGTTTACATTCCCACCAATGGTGCACAAAGATTTCCTTTGCTCTACATCCTTACCTTGTCTCTTGTTTTTTTAAAATTGTGATGTACTTTTATTTTCTTTAAAAAATTTTTATTGAGGTGTAGTTGACATACAATATTAGTTTCACATACACCGTGATTTGACATTTATATACATTACTCAGTGCTCATGATAAGTGTAGTCCCCATATGTCACCATACATTATTTTAATATTATTGACTATATTCCCTATGCTGTACTTTTCATCTCTGTGACTTACTTATTTTATAACTGGAAGTTTGTACCTTCACCTATTTGCCCACCTCTCCCACCCCTCCACTCTGGCAGCCACTAGTTCTCTGTATTTATGAATCTGTTTCTGTTTGTTCCCTTTTTCCCCTATTTTTTAAGATTACACATATGAATGAAATTGTATGTTATTTGCCTTTCTGTGTCTGACTTAGTTCACTTAGTGTAGGACCCTCTAGGTCCATCCATGTTGTCACAAATGGCAAGATTTCATTCTTTCCCAGGGGTGCCTGGGTGGCTCCGTCGGTTATGTGTCAAACTTCGTCTCAGGTCATGATCTCACAGTTCGTGGGTTCGATCCCTGCGTCGGGCTCTGAGCTGACAGCTCGGAGTCTGGAGCCTGCTTCAGATTCTGTCTCCCTCTCTTTCTGCCCTTCCCCTGCTCACACTCTGTCTCTCTCTGTCTCTCTCTCTCAAAAATAAACATTAAAAAAAAGATTTCATTCTTATGTTGAGTAATATTTGTATGTATGTGTGTGTATGTATGTATGTGTGTATATACATTTTATCCATCTTTTTAAAAATTTGTTTCAATGTTTATTTGTTATTTATTTTTAATTATTTTTTTAATTTACATCTAAGTTAGCATATAATGCAACAATGATTTCAGGAGTAGATTCCTTAATGCCCCTTACCCATTTAGCCCATTCCCCCTCCCACAACCCCTCCAGCAACTTTGTTTGTTCTCCATATTTAAGAGTGTTTTATGCTTTGTCCCCTCCCAGTTTTTATATTATTTTTGCTTCCCTTCCCTTATATTAATCCGTTTTGTATCTTAAAGTCCTCATATGAGTGAAGTCCTATGGTACTTGTCTTTCTCTAATTCGCTTAGCATAATACTCTCTAGTTCATCCACGTAGTTGCAAATGGCAAGATTTCATTCTTTCTGATTGCTGAGTAATACACACACACACACACACACACACACACACACACACACCACATCTTCTTTATCCATTCGTCCACCAGTGGACATTTGGGTTCTTTCCGTACTTTGTTGTCAGTTGTGCTGCTATCAACATTGGGGTGCATGTGCCCCTTTGAAACAGCACACCTGGATCCCTGGGATAAATACCTAGTAGTGCAATTGCTGGGTCGTTGGGTAGTTCTATTTTTAATTCTTTGAAGAACCTCCATACTGTTTTCCAGAGTGGCTGCACCAGTTTGCATTCCCACCAACAATGCAAAAGAGATCCTCTTTCTCTGCATTCTTGCCAACATCTGTTGTTGCCTGAGTTGTTAATGTTAGCCATTCTGACAGGTGTGAAGTGGTATCTCATTGTGGTTTTGATTTGTATTTCCCTGATGATGAGTGATGTTGAGCATTTTTTCATGTGTCTGTTACCATATGGATGTCTTCTTTAGAGAAGTGCCTGTTCATGTCTTCTGCCCATGTCTTCACTGGATTATTTGTTTTTTTTTTGGGGGGGGGGTGTTGAGTTTGATAAGTTCTTTATAGATTTTGTATACTAACCCTTTATTTGATATGTCATTTGCAAATATCTTCTCCCATTCCATCGGTTGCCTTTTAGTTTTGCTAATTGTTTCCTTCACTGTGCAGAAGTGTTTTATTTTGATGAGGCCCCAATAGTTCATTTTTGCTTTTGTTTCCTTTGCCTCTAGAGACGTGTTGAGTAAGAAGTTTCTGCGGCCAAGGTCAAAGAGAGTTTTTGCGTGCTTTCTCCTTAAGGATTTTGATGCTTCCTGTCTTACGTTTAGATCTTTCATCCATTTTGAGTTTATTTTTGTGTACGGTATAAGAAAGTGGTCCAGGTTCATTTTTCTGCATGTCGCTGTCCAGTTTTCCCAGCACCACTTGCTGAAGAGACTGTCTTTATTCCATTGGATATACTTTCCTGCTTTGTCAAAGATTAGTTGCCCATACGTTTGTGGGTCCATTTCTGGGTTCTCTGTTCTGTTCCCTTGATCTGAGTGCCTGTTTTTGTGCCAATACCATACTGTCTTGATTATAGCTTTGTAATACAGCTTGAAGTCTGGGATTGTGATGTCTCTAGCTTTGGTTTTCTTTTTCAGGATTGCTTTGGCTATTCGGGATTTTTTCTGGTTCCATTCAAACTTTAGGATTGTTTGTTCTAGCTCTGTGAAGAATGCTGGTGTTATTTGATAGGGATTGCTCAATGCTTATTTATTTTTTATTAAAAATTTTTTTTAACGTTTATTTATTATTGAGAGACAGAGAGACACAGAATCTGAAGCAGGCTCCAGGCTCTGAGCTGTCAGCACAGAGCCCGATGTGGGTCTCAAACTCACAAACTGAGAGATCATGACCTGAGCCAAAGTCGGACGCTTAACCGACTGAGGGCACCCCAATGTTTATTTATTTTTGAGAGAGAGAGAGAGAGAGAGAGAGAGAGAGAGAGAGAGAGAGAAAGGAAGAAAGAGACAGAGCAGGGGAGGGGCAAAGAAAGAGGGAGACAGGATCCAAAGCAGGCTCTGCACTGATAGCAGAGAACCTGATGCAGGGCTCAAACTCAGGAACTGTGAGATTATGACTTGGACTGAAGTCAGATGTTTAACTGACTGAGCCACTCAGGCACCCCTATCGATTCATCTTTTGATGGACACTTAGGTTGCTTCCATTATCTTGACTATTGTAAACAATACCACAGTAAACATAGGGGTGTATATATCTTTTCAAATTAGTGTTTTTGTTTTCTTCAGATAAATACCCAGAAGTGGAGTTGCCGGATTATATGATATTTCTATTTTTAATTTTTTGAGGAACCTCCATACAGTTTTCCAGGGTGGCCATACCAATTTACATTATCACGAACAGTGTGCACATCCTTGCCACAATGGTTGTCATTTTGTTACTAGCCATTCTAACAGGTGTGGTGATATCTTATTGTGGTTTTGATTTGCATTTCCCTGATGATTAGTGATATTGAGCATCTTTTCATATACCTCTTGGCCATTTGTTATGTCTTCCTTGGAAAAATTTCTGTTCAGGTCCTCTGCCCACTCTTTTAATTGGCTTTTTTTTTTTTTCCCCTATTGAGTTGTGTGAGTTCCTTGTATATTTTGGATATTAACCCATTACCAAAATGTGGTTTGCAGACATTTTCTTGCATTCTTTAGGTTACCTTTTTATTTTGTTAATTTTTTTTTTTGCTGTGAGGTTTTTAGTTTGATATTGTCCAACTTATTTATTTTTACTTTTGTTGCTTGTGCTTTTAATGTCTATAAAGTCCTTTCCAAGACCAGCAATAGCAAGGAGCTTTTCCCCTATGTTTTGTTCTAGTTGTGCAGTTATCCCTTTTCTTGTTTCTGTATTGTTAGACCACTTGCCTCCAAAATGAATTTGCAGTTTGTGAGGTGTCTTAGGGAGATTTTGCAGAAAATAGATTTGTTTTTGAGAATCTTTAAGCTGTATGATAGAGTGTACTTTGTAGTATGTGTCTAATGCTGTAGTTTGCAATGTTCTCCTTTTTTTTCCAATCTCCTCCTACCCAGATCACTGTCCAAACACAATTACTTTTTAAAAAAATCTTTTATTGTTTATTTATTTTTGAGATAGAGCATGAGTGGGGGAGGGGCAGAGAGAGAGGGAGACACAAAATCCAAAGCAGGCTCCAGGCTCTGAGCTGTCAGCACAGAGCCCTACCCGGAGCTCAAACGCATTAACTGTGATATCATGGCCCGAGTCGAAGTTGGACACCCAACTGACTGAGCCATCGAGACATCCCCAAACACAATTACTTTTATTTTCCTGCTTGTCTATCCTCCAAAATATATTTGTTTACTACTGAGAATAGATTACACAAGATTCTACTCAGCTAGTCCAAATGGTAATGTTGTAGCTAGAAGACCTTCAAAGGTTTTTAGTTAAACTGAGGAAAAACATCTTGTTTTATTTTCTTTTGGATAGAGTGGGGAACTTTATGTTTATTTATTTATTTATTTATTTATTTTGGAGTGGAATGTGAGTCCTTTTAGGTTTATTAGGATTTCTCTAGGGATGATTTTGGGATAAAGAAACTGCTGCATACATGAAAGCATGTAAGGATTTTTTTCTGCCCTACAGTCAAGATTTTATCTAAAGATTTTCATTTTAAAAAGGCTTTTAAATATAACTACTAAATAAATAAACAATAATTTAAATAATTAACAATAATTATTAACAATAATTAAACAATAATGTAAATTTCAGAATAGACTAATGTAGCAAGTTGGCAAGTGGGACTTTTCCTGTTCGCTCTGTTATGGGGCTGAGGTCTGAGAGCTGAGAACAGAATATATTAATGTCGAGATTCCAAAGTGGGATACAGCTTTGCCTGTGTAGAACTTGTTATGGTCACCGCCCCTGCCAACAAAGCAGTTCTAGGCAGTTCCTTGGATATGGTGGTTCTGTGCAGTTCCATATAATTCTGCCAACTCATTTACAGCTAATTGGAGATTGTTGGATCCAGTGTTCTCTCACTCTAGCTGCAGCCAGGTCAGAAGCCTATAAGATGCTGCCACAAAGGCACTGCCCACATAGGGGCCATGACCAGTCTCTGGTCAGTGAGCTTCTTTCTCTTTTCGATTTTTTTTTCTTTCTTAACAGAAGCCATAGCAATATATTGGCTGTTGGTTACAGGGGCAGAAATCAGAAAAACACAGATAACTAACCGAGTCATATCCGTGTTGAAATTGTAAAATGGTGATCTACCAATTTCTGGTAGAGCTCCCTGAATCCAAGTCTTAAACAAACAACCCCCCCCCCCCCCAAACCCCTTTTTCATCTGATTAGTTTCTATTTAAGTTTTATATAAACATGTTTTTAAGTATAAGTGAAGTTTAAACTACTGGGAGTAGTGCACATGGTTTGTCAGTTTAACGGGAGACCATTTTTTCTGCTTCCATTCTTCATACATATCTATTTGAAATCCTTATCTGAGTGGTTACAGTTGTTGCACCAGTGATTCTGTTTGAAGTTTCCGCTGTAATTCTTGTCCACTTGAGCTATTGGAACTGACAGCATCTTCTGTTGCTATCATGACTCCTTTAGGCACAAAGTGCAGTTAGATTTTCTCTCAGGAAAGGAAGTTTCACTAAGATAGTGTTTATTTTATAGAGTAATAATCTTTTCTTAAATGTTGTTCATACTTCTATTCTAAAAAGTGCCACTGCCAAATAAAATCTTCACTTTTAAGGAGAAAACGTGTACTAGACAATCGGGATTTAGTATAGGGTTAATGCTATTGCCTTCTGGTGGCTTTGATGTAAGCTATTAATGTGTGGTTATATAGAAATCTAATAGGTTAAAGAGAGAAAGGCATGTCCACATGCACATATACACACATACACAGAGAAGGAGGGAGAGATGGAAGGAGAGAGAGAGAAATACCGCCTTCCTTTCCAGGTTTATGCTTTCCATCATGAACCTGAGAGAATAATTCAGCCTGCATAAGTAACGGCAGGCCTCACTGAGTTTCTTTTGATTTTCCAGAGAGAAATTGTATTGAAATTCTCATAGTCACTATTACCTCTGCCTAGTTAGTAGATAGTGGGAATGGCCTTCTCTCTCTCCAAGAAAAAGGTTGAGCGTTTGAGTTAGAGGTACAGAATGCTCAAGGAACCCCAGTCTGACATTCTGGCTGTTCTAGTTGAGGACATTTCTTGCTTTTCTTCCTGGTAGTTTTTCTGTCAGGTATCTGAAGTACCTTTTGACAACCTCTCTCCATGACAGCACTTCTTAGCATTCTTTCTTATAACTGACTCTCATCTTAGGGGCCTTTCTTTAGTGGTTGCAATTCTTCAGTCTCCAATAGTTCCCAGTAGCAGCTGCTCCCCTGTAGCTTCTGGTAGTGTTAACAGCTGATTTGATCCCAGGCCTCTTATTAGTAACTCCTATAGAAACAGTGTTCTCAGCCTTCCTTTCTAGCCTCAACTCTTACTAGTTCTTACCTTTCTGTTCTCCTTCCTCAGTGAACATATTCATACCAATATGCTTGCAGTTTTTCAAATATGATTCCCTGTTTGATATTCCTGCTCCTCTTCATGTCAGCACCCAACTTGGGCTCAGGTGTTACTTTTTCTATGATATTCCAGAGCTAATTAGCTGCTACCTCATTTGTGCCCCTCATATATACTCTAAATCTGTTATAGTATATATAATTCTTTGTTGTTTATGTCTCCTTTGAGTGGGGCAGAAGAAAGCCCTGCCCAAATTGCAGATTCTTGAACAAAATAGTCTTTTAAGCCACTAAATTTTGGGATAATTTGTTATGCAGCCATAGAAACTGAAATAGATTTTGGTATTTGGAAATGGAGAGCCATATAACAGAAACCGAAAAATGTAGCAGTAGCTGAAGCTAAACTAGACAGTGGGCAGATGATGGGAGGACTTTGAAGAGACTATTGGTGGAAGCCTGGGATAGCCCTTAAGGAGGAAGTCAGTGAAGGTTTATTTATTTATTTATTTATTTATTTATTTATTTTTAAAAATATTTATTTGTTTATTTTGAGAGAGAGAGAGAGAGAGAGAGAGAGAGAGAGAGAGAGCAAGTAGGGGAGGGGCAGGGAGAGAGAGAGAGAGAGAGAGGCAGAGAATCCCAAGCAAGCTCCATACCATCAGCACAGATTCCCGACATAGGGCTTGAACTCACAAACAATGAGATCATCACCTGAGCCGAAATCGAGTCGGATGCCCAACTGACTGAGCCACCCAGGTGCTCTGGAAGTCAGTGAAGATTTAAAGGAAAGTAAAAAGTAATGAAATAATTGAAAAAAAAAAAAATATATATATATATATATATATATATATATCTCATTAGGTGATATATAATGAAAAGATTATTGATATGTGATAAGCAGAAAGCTTAGCAATAATGTCACTTATAGTAATGTGGAAAATAGGAAATGTTTTGCATGATGATAATGAGTTGCATGATAAAGGTATTTTCAGGGATATTTTCCGGCTGTTTCTTGCTGTTAGTAGTCAAATATGATAGGAGAGAGTGCTATGGTATGAATATGGGTGTCCTCCAAAATTCTTAGATTAAATCCTGGTGCCCAGTGCGATGATATTAACAGTTGGGACCTTTGGGTGGTGCTTAGGTCATGAGTGTGGAACCCTCATAAATGGGATTTTATAATATGTTTTTATAAAAGAGACCCCACAGAGCTGACTAGCCTCTTCCACCATGAAAGAAAACAGTGACAAGTTGTCAGTTTGCAACGTAGAAGGGAGTCTTCAGCAGAACCCAACCATGCTGGCACCCTGATCTTGGGCTTCTAGCTTCTAGAACTATGAGAAATAAGTTTTTGTTGTTCATAAGCCACTCTGGCATGTAAAGTAGTCTGATTGGGCTAAGAGAGATAAGCTAAGGAAAGAATTGTTAAATATAAAGGAACTAGAATTTACTGAGTTCAAAAATAAAACTCTCTTTTCTAGTTTCTCCAGATGGCAGATAATTCTTAAGAAAAGCCTAATGGAAAAAAAGCTTAAAAAAAAACTTGGAAAAAAACGTCTAATGGAAAGAGATTCTAGGGTGTTGTCAGAAAATTAAGTTTAACAATGAAGCCAAAGGGAATGATTATAAAACTCTTTGAGTCCTCTGGAGATTTTAATGTCATGCCTCACAAAAACAAAAGTCTCTTTAAGGATCTGAGGACCTGCAATACCTCAGATCTTTATTAAACAAAAGGTTCTCTAAGAATTTTAAGAGCACTGTCCCTCAGGACCTTATAGGAAGCTCAAGGATTTATTTTGAAATTTATGGGTGTGGCTTTTGTGTAACAGAATGGATTATACAATGCTTCACAGGAAGCCCACTCAGTTAAAAAAAAAAAAAAAAAAGGCTTTTAGAGAAGTTTTAGGTTCAGGACAAAATCGAGCAGAAAGCAGAGTTCCCAAATACTCTCTGCCCCTCTTGTGCACTGGCGTGGTACATTTGTTAAAAATCAGTGAGCCTGCATTGACACATCATTATTCCTCGTAGTCCATAGTTTACATTAGGATTCATTCTTGGTGTATTTTCTATGGGTTTGGACAAATGTATAATGACACCTCCATCATTAGAGTATCATACAGAATATTCTTCCTGCCCTAAAAATCCTCTATGCTCTGCCTGTTTCATCCAGCCCTCCCCACCAACCCCTGACAAACTAATCTTTTTTTTTAAATTTACATCCAAATTAGCATATAGTGAAGCAATGATTTCAGGAGTAGATTCCTTAGTGCCCCTTACCCATTTAGCCCGTCCCCCCTCCCACAACCCCTCCAGTAACCCTCTGTTCTCCATATTTATGAGCCTCTTATGTTTTGTCCCCCTCCCTGTTTTTATATTATTTTTATTTCCCTTCCTTTATGTTCATCTGTTTTGTCTCTTAAAGTCCTCATATGAGTGAAGTCATATATTGTCTTTCTCTGACTAATCTCACTTAGCATAATACCCTCCAGTTCCATCTACGAAGTTGCAAATGGCAAGATTTCATTCTTTTTGATTGCCGAGTAATACTCCATTGTGTGTGTGTGTGTGTGTGTGTGTGTGTGTGTGTGTGCGCGCGCGCGCGTGTGTGTGTATACACCACATCTTTATCCATTCGTCCATCGATGGACATTTGGGCTGTTTCCATACTTTGGCTATTGTCGATAGTGCTGCTATAAACATTGGGGTGCACACCTGTATCCCTTGGATAAATACCTAGTAGGCAATTGCTAGGTCGTAGGGTAGTTCTATTTTTAGTTTTTTGAGGAACCTCCATACTGTTTTCCAGACTGGCTGCACCAGCTTGCTTTCCCAACTGACAAACTAATCTTAACTCTTTACATAGTTCTGCCTCTTCCAGAGTGTCATATAGTTGGAGTCATACAGTACGTAGCCTTGTTAGATTTGCTTCTTTCAGTTATTAATATGCATTTAAATTTCTTCCCTGTCTTTACATGGTTTGGTAGCTCATTTCTTTTTAACATTGAATAATATTCTGTTGTCTGCTTGGTTTATCCATTCACCTACTGAAGGACATCTTAGTTGTTTCTAAGGTTTGGCAGTTACGAATAAAGCTGCTATAAACCGTGTGCAGGTTTTTGTGTGGACCTAAGTTTTTAACTCTTTTGGGTTAATACCAAGGAGTGTGATAGCTGTATTGTATTATAAAAGAATATGTTTAATTTTGTAAGAAACTGTCAAATTGTCTTTTAAAGGGTCTGTACCATTTTCCATTTTCACCCACAATGAATCAGATTTCCTGTTATTCCATATCCTCACCAGCATTCAGTATTGTCAGTTTTCTGGATTTTAGCCATTCTAGTAGGTGTGTAGTAGTATTTTATTTTAATATGTACTTTCCTAATAACATGATGTTCAGTGTCTTTTTATATGGTTATTTGCCATCTGTATATCTTCTTTTTTAGATGTTTATTGATATCTCTTGCTCATTTTTTAATCTGGTCATTCATTTTCTGACTGTTGAGTTTTAAGAATTCTTCATATATTTTAGGTAACAGTCCTTTATTAGATATGTCTTTTGCAAATATCTTCTCTGAGTCTGTGGCTTGCTTTCTCATTCTCTTGATCCACAAGTCTTTAAAAGTCTTATATTAATTTATACTGGAAGGCACAGAGATAGTACAAAATGAAAAGAGGCTTTGGATCTCAAACTTCTACAGACAAGAAGCATGCCAAGAACATGGCTATTTACCATGAAACCTATAGCCCAGAGTGGGGAGAGATGAACCACAGTAAACCATTCCCATCAGTACAATTGACCCCTAGTTGAGGAACTAGCAGCATATGCCCAACTGAGTTTCAAACTTGTAATGGACTTATGCCTGCTCCACCATTGTGTATTCATGTTTGTGGAGACAGATAACTTCTCTTTTTTTGTGTATAGCTCTTCACATCAAGAGGAACTGTACTCAGGGGCTATATTTAAGGAACTGTTCAGGCTGGACTTCCAGCCTGAGCCTGATAATGTGGATATTGGGGAAAGGAATGAGTATATTTTTTGCATGTTGGAAGGATGAGAACTGCTGTGGCCAGAAGGTGGACTGTGGCATACGGTATTTTTGAAGATTGGTTTCGACAATATTTGTGGTCCCACATGCTTTTCTAGAACCATGCCACTGAGTTTATTTCCCTTGCTCTTGAACCTGGGCTGGACTTTGAACTGATTAATAGAATGTGGAAGAGGTAATACCTTATGACTTTCAAGGAAGCCTAGGTCATAAAAGGTGATACTGTTTCTGTCTGGCTGTCAGGATCTTACCTTTGGAACCTAGCCACCATAGAGTAAGGAAGCCTAGGCCACATAGAGAAGCTATATGGAGATACTCTGGCACCAGCCAAGGTTTCATCTGACAACATCAGCCACCAAACGTGTTAGTAAATGAGGCTTTATTTAAATTCAGTCCCTAGCCTTTGAGCCACCCCAGTTGATGTTGAGTGGTGTATAGACAAGCTATATCCTTTGTGTCCTGTTTAAATTGCAGATTCATGAGCAAAGTAAGTAGTTTCTTGGTCAGTAAGTATTAGGGTTATTATTTTTTATGTAGTCCTAGAAACTTAAATAATTAGAAAGGTAATAGTTTTGGGTTTTTTTTTTTTTAATTAAGTTTTGGTAATAAAGTTTTGCTGGCTTTATGAAATGAATTGGAAACATTTCATCTTTTATTTGGTATGGAATAATTTATTTTTTTTTTCAAAAAATGTTTTAATTTTAGTTAATAGATTTCAGTGGTAGAATTCAGTGATTCATCATTTACATACAACACCCTGTGTTCATCACAATAAATGCCCTCCTTAATACCCATCACCCATCTAGCCCATCTCCCACCCACCTCCCTCCATCGACCTTCAGTTTGTTCTCTGTCGTTAAGAGTCTCTTGTGTTTCATTTCTTTCTTCTCTCCCCCTCTTCCTGTATGTACATCTGTTTTGTTTCTTAACTTCCAAATATAAGTGGTATTATATGATATTTGTCTTTTTCTGATTGACTTATTTCGCTTAGCATGATACATTCTAGCTCTATCCACGTTGTTGCAAATGGCAAGGTTTCATTCTTTTTGATGACTAATATTCCATTGTATGTGTATGTGTGTATATACATATACCACATCTTCTTTATCCACTCATCAGTTGATGGGCATTTGGACTCTTTCCATAGTTTGGCTATTTGGCTATTGTTGATAATGTTGCTATAAATATTGGGGTCCATGTTCCCCTTTGCATCTGTATTTTTATATCCTTTGGGTAAATACCTAATAGTGCAATTGCTGGATTATAAGGTAGTTATATTTTTAGCTTTTTCAGGAATCTCCATAGTGTTCTCCATGCACCTGTTTGCATTCCCACCAGCATTACATGAGGGTTTCCTTTTCAATATGGAAAAATTTAAATAACATTATAATTATTCCTTAATTGTTAGAATTCACATTTAAAGGTATTTTGGGTGTGTTATTTAAAATAATAGTCACCTTTCCAGTCTCTTTTTTGGTTATTAGTTTGGGGTTTCTATTTGGTTTCTATTTGGTTTGTGTTTTCTTGGAAATCATACATTTCTTCTAATCTTGCTAACGTTTGTTTTGCTTTATATTCTTAAGCAATTAAAAAAACATATTTTGAAATTATCAATTTTCCTTTTTTTCTGCTTTAAAAAAAAATTTAATGTTTATTTATTTTGGAGACAGAGCACAAGAGGGGGAGGGGCAGAGAGAGCCGGAGAGAGAATCTGAGGCAGGCTGCAGGCTCTGAGCTGTCAGCACAGAGCCCGATGCGGGGCTTGAACCCACGAATTATGAAATCATGACCTGAGCCAAAGTTGGACACCCAACTGACTGAGCCACCCAGGTGCCCCTGTGCCTTTTTTTTTTTTTTTTAATCCTTAAGATAAATATAGCATTCCTGCTATTATAGTCATTTGTCTTCATAATGAAAGGGTTTAGGGATATAACTTTTTATGCTTTTGCATAAAATATGCATAAAATATGGCTTTTGCTGTGTTCCATAAATTTTTATGTATTTACCTTTTCATTAATTTCTAGGGAGTTTGTGATTTTTCTCTTTGTTCAAGAATTTTTAAGTCATTAAGATGTTTCAAATCATTTAACAATTATTTTTAGTATTATTATCAGTGACTGGATTGTAACATATTTACTTTTAAATGTTTGTTATAGTTTGCTCTGTGGAAATTTCTATAAAACTGTGAACACATTAAAATGTAAATTCTCTCACTGAGAGAAGTAAGATTCCATATTGTCTTAGTTTAGACTCTTCTAAGACGCAGCCTCACCTTTTGAAACCGTTCTGTCCCCTGGGCTCTTTCACTCTGTGCTTGTGATGGAAGTGGCAGCTCTGATGATCTTTGATTTACCTTGGCAGTGGGTGGTGGTGGTGTTATTCTTTCCTTATCTGGAAGAACAGCACCTGGCTTCTGTTGAGATGGATGTTTTAGGTCTGTGGTTCCTACTTGTATTAATCTCCTTATCAAATGGTCACTTTGGTATACCTTTAGTGTCCTCTTCCAAAAACAGTTTCTCATTTTCCAAACCTTTAAGTTCTACTTCCTTTTTTTTTTGGCTTGACAATTCTGTCTTATTATTATTTCTCTCTCCTCGCATTTAACCATAAGTGGTGAGGAGGAACCAGGCCACTCCATCAACACTTTGCTTAAGATCTCCTCAGAGAAATACCCAGTTTCATTGCTTTCAAGTTCTGCCTTCCACAAAACACTAAAACAGTAACACAATTCAGCCAAGTTCTTTGCTACTTTATATAGTAAGGATCATCTTTTCTTTAGTTTCCAATAACATGTTCCTCATTTCTGTCTGAAACCTAATCATAGTGGGCTTTATGGTTCATATTTCTACTAGCATTCTGCTCAGAATTATTTAAATGTATATTTTTAAATCTTTATTAATTTTTGAGAGACAGTGTGAGTGGGGGAAGGGACAGAGAGAGGGAGAGAATCCTAAGCAAGCTCCGTGCTGTTAGCACAGAGCCTGATGCGGGGCTCGAACTTGTGAACCATGACATCATGAACCGAGCTGAAATCAGACCCTCAACCACTGAGCCACCCAGGTGCCCCAGAATTATTTATTTTCTAAGAAGACTGAGGTTTTCTCTTCAGCTCTTCTCTTTCTGCGCCCTCACCAGAATTACCCTTTAATGCTCCTATTTTGAGTATGCATCTCTCAACTTTTTCAGCCTCTATCCATTAACCGGTACCAAAGCCACTTGCACATTATTAGGCATTTGTTGTAGCAGCACCCCACTCTCAGTTCCAAAATCTGTAGTAGTCCAGGTTCTCCAGAGAAACAGAACCTGTGGAGGTTGAGAATTCCCACGATCTGCTGCCTGAAGCTGGAGACTCAAGAAAGCCAGTGGAGTAATCCATTCTAAATTTGAAAGCCTGAGAACCAGAGGAGATAGTGGTGTAAATCCCAGTCTAAGATGAGGAGAAGGCAAGATGAGATGTCTCAGCTCAAAAGATGAAGCAGGAAAAAAGGGGGAAATTCCTCCTTCCTCCACCTTTTATTCTATGTAGACTCTCCATAGATTAGATAATACCCACCCACATTGAGAAAGGCAGTCCACTGAGTCTGCCAGTTCAAATGCTAATCTCTGGAAACGGCTGCACTCAGAAATAATGTTTTCTGTGGGTACCCTATGGCCAGTCAAGTTTACACATAAAATTAACCAATACACACACACACACACACACACACACGCACACACACACACGAAAATCTTTGAAATAAAACTTCAGTAGATGAATTTAAGGAGACTTACCCTGGGGATCTCCCTGAATTAGTGGGTTGGAAAAATCAAGAGGAAGAAATACCTAAAAACTAAAAACAAATACATGCAAAAAGATACATTGGGACAGAGGCATTCACTTAAAGACTCATTTTTCACATAGTATTCCTATGGAAATTACTGGAACTTGTGCATTATCAAAATAATGACGTAAACCAAGGGAGAAGAAAACAAAATTGAGCAAATAGAATCTTAACACAAAAGAGAGGCAAAAAAATTTACCTAATATTGGTGGAGAGAGATTCTAAATGACAGCTGTGCATCAGGCCTGGAAATAAATGAGTTTAGGTTGAAATAGGTCAGAAGGCTCAAAGAGACTTCTTCAAGAAGATGAAATTAATGAAATACCTAATAGGTTTGAATGTATTGA